TATAAATAAACTTAATATAAATAACCTTGCATAGAGGAAACAGGAGAGTTAGATTTAATGAGGAGAAAAAAGTGCAACCGAAGTCATAAATATAAATACAACAAATTTAGACAATAAAACAATTAAAACAAGAAATAGGAAAAACAAGTATACTCTGGATTCACCCTCCACTTCACCTGAAAAAAGAGAAATAAGAAACAACTAGAGAAACTTAGAAATGATCTAAATTATCATTTGTACCAAAACTAGAAATTGATGCAACATTAACCTTACCTGTCTTATTGAAGGTACACAGTGGGCTAACTTTAGTCACATTTTCAGTCCTAAAATGTACAAAAAGTCGAGTCCCAGTCCCATAGTACTGCTCATGTGTGCCATTAATTCTGCACAAGTAATTACAGTAGAATCTGCCAGTGTCGTTGAGCTCTAGGGACGTCAGGGTAAAGCTCTGGCGCCAGTGGCTTTCTTTTTTGTCTTCAGAATGTCTCCCACTAAACTGAGCTAGTTTGTTAATGCTGACATATTTCCCATGTCTGTTCTTGATGTACCAGTTTACTAAACACTTAGCTTCCTGAATGTCTCCATGAGCCTGGCAGTGTATGGTGATGTTTTCTCCGGGTGTGCTGTACACCTCACCTGGCCACTGCTTTACCCAGTTTTGAGTGTGAGCCTTTCCTGCGACAAAGAACACAAATTTTATGCTGCTCATGGATAAAGATATTTAAGTCAATTAATCTTGGTGAGCAAAAATTCAGCAATCATGTGAGTTCATATTAGTACTGATAATGAAACTGCACACTTCGTCATCTTGTCGCCACTGAAACAAGATCGTTTAACACATCAGTGTTCACTGCATTAATGCTGACACGTGACAGATCACATACATTTTTACTTAAAATGCACTTATGGAAACAATTAAGTGCAAATTGTTTATAATTAAACTTTTGTCGATTAAAAAAAAACAAAAACCATTTTAATAATAATTTAGACCGATTGTTATTTACTGGGGTTCAGAAATTTGAGACTGCTAGTAAAAATGATTCTATGAAAGGATTTTTTTTTAGATTACAAAATTAATTTTCAGCAAAATAATTTCAGTGAAATTCCTTTTGTAAATTCGAACAATATCATGATGCTTAACATTAAACATAGATAACAGATGGAAACTGACATAAAAATGGCCCATATAATAAACACACAAAATAACACATATAAGAATAGCAAAACTTAAACATCATAAAATATCATCAAAGGCTATTTTGAGAAATATAGTGGAAAAAAA